AGCTGGTGCGTTGAAGCGGGAGTGTCTTGATGTGGCCTTGGGTCAGAAGGTTTCGAGAGATCGTACTGGAAATCCGCAATGTATTGAATGATGCACCAAAACCTATGCAAATGTGTTTTTAGAAGCCCTTCTGCCTTCCATGGCTGATTGGAGCAGTTGGCCGGTGTGCCCCCCCCTCGCGCGCAAACCGGTGTGTCCCCCCCCCAGTCCACAATCGCTATTGTTTCCCCCTGATTTGCACCCACAGAGCGGCTTGACAGGATGTGGTTTCTGCTGAAGTACGGTAGCTTTGGCAAAGTGTAGTTCATGCCCATTAAGTCAAAGTTTATCGCAAGGACACTAAGATGGCGCTGGTATTTGCGAGAACCTCGGAAGGGGGACAGACAGGACCGATTCTGAAGGGTGCCCTGTGCAGTTTGAAAGCAGGATCCTGCACCTGCCTATTGGCCTGCTGTTTACGTTTCGAACCATGCTTAGCGGCCCCAGAAGCTATCCTTCCATTTCCACTTCTGTTCCATGCCAAATTTAACAGGTTAACCTTAGTTCGGTCTTTTGGGCAAATGTTCGAAAAGAAGACTTGCTTCAGAAGAGACCAGAAATAGATGCCGCTCGATTCGCAGCCTTTCGAGCCCTCGGCCCAAGACCGTGCGGCCCACATTGCATGCAGCTCTGGACACCTCAACTCATGTGTTTTTTCTTCAACCACTTTGAAGGTTCGGAACAGTTCTCATGAGTATGGATGGTGTCGATGGTGTTCATGGTGATGTAGATGATGTGGATGAGGTTGATGATGATGAGGCACAAGGCGAAGAGGAGTACTTGATATGTTTAAATGCAGCGAAACACCATTTGAAGTTGACCTCTGCCCGTTACATTCAGCATGTCCACGGGCAATCAGGCAGTTTCAGACCACACGCGCTCGCAAGCAAGCCACGCAGTTTGCCTCAGATTGAGGCACGCACGGCACATGTCAACCAAGGTCCTTACTTTGACTTGAGCGAAAACATACTTCCTTAGACTTGGAGTAGAAGCTTCCTTGGACCCTGGGTCTAGGATTCGCTGGGCGTAGGGCTTCCGAAGCCCAGTTGCAACCTGACTTCATGGCAGACCTAAGTAGAAATTTGGCCCCGCTCGTTTGGCCAATTCCTTTCAAAAGATACAGTCTCAAGTATTGGCAGACTATTCATTTTGCTTTCTTCTGTGCATCAAATTGCAATGCCTCGCCCTCCGTACTGCCGTGTGCGCGAACTTCATTAGAGCACACGACAGGAGTGTCACTGCGCATAGTTTCGTGACGTAGTGGTGCGTTTTCCCAATACATGATAATCAGCAATGTAAACACGCACATCCACATTTAGCAGTGTGACAAACTGTTCGTGGTGGTTGATCGACCTGAAGTGAGACCCTCTATTCTGGGGCCGAAACTTTGCCTGAGCTCAGGAAAGAAGTCTCCTCTTTGTCGTACATCATGCTACCTTGGTGGATGCAATCAGACCCTACCCCCAGACCAAAGATTTGGAAAGCATCTTGGCTGAAGAAACTACAAACCTCGGAGTCTCTGGCTGGTCACCTTGCCTAGGGCCATGCGTTCCTTCCTTTTTGGGAGGGTTCCCTTACGAGCCACGATGGGCGGCCAGACCCTCACATAGTGGGATCTCTGATTGTTTTTTGCATGGCAGTGTTTTGGGTGCATTGTTGTTCCAAAGAAAAGACAAAGGACGACCACCCGTTTTAGGATGTTCCACCCATGTCTCAACATAGTCACATGCGGAAACCAGACCAGTCAGGTCAACAACCTGGAAGCACGGGCCACACGGTTGACAATTGACGTGATCAACTCACAACGCGTTGGTTTGCAGGAGCATTTGCCAAGCGCTTATCGCGTCAATGCTTCGCTTGAAATCCTGCACCCGCCGAGGCAGCGTCGTCGAGGCTCCAATGTGCTCCAGAGTTGCTTGGATCCTCCGCGGAGCACTGCTTCAGCCCGTGCTTCAGCGTTGTTTAGGAACTAGCCTCTTTTGCGACTGGTTCGCATCGTTTATCAAACGCCCCGGCGCGCAGTTACCTCAAAGCGACTTCTGTTCCGCCGCTAAGTTGCGCAGCCTTGGGCGCGGGTGCTTTGAGGCGTCACCCAGCCATCGCGTGACTTGTTCGAAAGCAACTCTGCGTTGCCTGCCTGACGCTACACGAGCTGCAAAGAGACCTTACACGCGCCGCGAAGAAGCGGGTTTGTTGAGGGGGCCTTTTTGTTGAGTGGCGCTTGGTGGAAAGTCAGGGATACCACTAGTTTCAGAGCCCCCATTGCATGATGCACCAAGTTGGGCCGGGCTGACTATTTACCCTTCTCAGCTTCAAAGTTGTAAGCAATGTTGCGAGGGCGGCAATTTGTCAGAAACCAATTGTCTGGACACTGATGTCAGGCCCATGCTGGGCATCGGCTGTTCTGAAGGCACGGTGCTTCTTGGCGGCCAGCGCTGAGCTGCGGTAGGGGGTAGGGCTTACCTCCTCCCTTTGAAGGAACATCGCATTTTCTTACAAGATTTGCTCACGCACTGAAGTGAAGGGCAAACCCTATTTTTGAGCCAGTATGAGTCTGCCGTAATTTGTTCAGCAACCAGACCCTTGCCTCCTTGAGAGTAATGTTGGTTTTTGGCCTTGGCTTCCCATCCTCAGCCTCACCAGTTCGTCTCTACTTCTGGATTTGTTTGCAAAGAATAAACGCACCCCTAATTGAATCATCACGTTTCGATCATCGTGGTGGGGGCTGCCCCCCCCCCCCCAAACCCCCCCGCTACTTTTCATGTATTTTACAGGGATTAAATTGCACCCCTAGTTGAATCCTCATTTTTTGGGCCATCATGGGGGCTGCCGTTCATATTGATGTTTATGTATGTACGTATGCCTGTATGCATGTATGCATGTATGCATGTAGGTATGTTTCATGGGGGGGGACCCCCCACCCCCCCTGTGTTGCTTTTGCTTCGCAATTGACCCGAGAGCGCCTTGCAGGTATTCACCAGGGACTTCCATTCTCAGTTCCTCCACTATTGGCATATTGGACTCTCTTGCGGAATAGACCCAGGGACAAATACATTCTCTACTACCAGAACATACCAGCTCCAAGAACTTGTAGATGATTGGGTGACATTCACTACAATCGATGCCTCCAAGAGAGGACCACTCCTCAAGAGTCGTCTCACTGGAGATGCCCATATGTACAAGGCAGTCCTCCACAACGACCTCTTGCAGGATCCTGACGAAGGAGCCAATTATTTCAAGAACACGCTGAAGAAGTTCTTCCTAAAAGGGTCGACCAACGTGTACTTGTACAGACTTCTCAGTTTCTTCAATCACCGGAGGCAGAACACCGAGTACCTCATATTTACATCAAAATCTGAGATCCTCTTGATGAGATTGAAGGCAGCCTGGATGGACCTGATGCCAGCTCATACGGCACAGTCACCAGAGTTCATAGCTTCAGCCAATGCAAGAAGAATTGCCGCGCACCAGCAAGCCGCTGGTACACGAGCCTCCAGATCTGCTGCAGACAGACAATCCAGAAGTACTCAGGCAGCACCTTACAGGCATGCAGACAAGGCACCGCGATCCAAAGTGAATTGTCAGATCAGCAAAGAGAAAGGCTGATCAGTGCAATGTCATTAACAAACATTTCGCTTGAGAATTATTCATACGAGATGATGAAAACGCAGTACCAGTATGAACAAGGGTATGTACTTGGAAAAAACACGAGCAAGGGTTTTCAAGGGCTGCTATGAAGGGTTTCTTCCCAACCTCCCAACCCCCTCCTCTGGGTACATAGGTTTGGACAAGTCCATCCCTTTTTTTTGAACGCAACACGGTGCAACCGGGGGTTGACTTGTAGAATATGTGGCAGGTGTTCTATGTCCACGTCAAAAGCTGGATCCATCCATCCGACCTCCAGGAGGAAATCGGAACAACACCTTCTACATCCTCGAACAATCAGAATACGAGGGAGAAGAAGGCTTCTGGGTGGAAGACGAAGAAGGACAAGAAGGTTTCATGTCCACCAACGATGAGGAGACATTTTGGGTACTGGAGGAGAACGATGCGTTTGTTGCGAGAAACGTGTCTGGCCGGAATTTCAGATTCAAGAAGAGAAAAGGAAAAGGAAAATCGACAAGCAAAAAGGACAGTCACCAACGAGGTGGCTTCAAACCCTTTCGAAGAGGTAGCTCTGGCGGGAAGGCCAATATGGCCAACGAAAATCAGGATCCCTACGACTAGGCATATTGGGGAAAAGGCAAAGGAAAGAAGGGGAAAGAAAGGAAAATCGAAATTCCAATATCCCTATGATGGAAACAAAGGTTATCCATCCTATGACAATGGCAAAGGAAAGGGCGGACAAGCAAAAGGAAAGTCCAAGACGTTCGCAGCCATTGCAGAGAAGACGGAGGAGCAGCCCGCCATGCAGCCGACTGCGCCATCCACAGCGCCTACATATGCCGGTTGGACAGATCAGGATGGGATCCATCCTGGAATTGGAGTGAACAATGAGTCATCCAGCACAGCAGAAGCGATGATGGCATTCCATGACGCATATGAGCAGCATGAGAAAGACGCCATCGATGAAAAGCTGATCCAAGCCGATGCAGTTTCTGAGCAGTCAACAACGAGGACAAACAAAGCCTACTGGCAACAAAGCTGATGGCGCCTGTCATCAACCCGCAGCACAATCCAACCTATGCGATCCTGGACAACGGATGTACCAGAGCCATGGGCAGCTGGCATGCAATCCAGCGTTTTACCCAGGCCATCGAACCTATGAAAAACCTCATATCCTACTCGTACATCCCGGACGAGACCAAGTTCACTT